GATTGGATATTGGTTTAACTTGAGGCAGTCCAATAAGTACTTTGGACCGTTAAATCTGAATTGGTCAAATTTAATATGTCTTATCCGTTTAAATTCATTTTGATTTAGATGGGTCCAACTAGGGGTGGCAACGAGTCGAGCTTTTCATGAGCTGCTCGAGCCCAATTTAGTGGGTCGATTATTAAATGAGTCGAGCTCGAGCCTACTAGAGCTCGGCTCGTGAGGCTCGCGAGTCGACTCAAGTATATATATATATATTTGATATTTAATAAATATATATAATATATATAATAAAAGTATAGAAAATAATATATATATATATATTAAAAATATTATAATTCTTAAATTTTTAAATATAAAATAAAAATATTTATATATAATTTTTATTTTTATAAAATATTTTTTTTCTCAAAATCGAGCTCGAGCTTATGAATTTTTTATTCGAGTCGAGCTTGAGCTCAAGGTTCAGGTTCTGGCTCAAACCGAGCTAGCTCGAGCCTTGTAGAACAGTCTTGAGCCGAGCTCGAGCCTAGTATTATTCGGCTCGGCTCGGCTCAAATCCACCCCTAGGTCCAACCCAAACCTGGCCCATTGACACCCCTACACGTAGGCATCTCCATTCTCAGCATTTGCACGTGTGCAGTTCCAAATTCTACAGTGTTTTAATTGGTAAGTTTTGTCATTCATTGCATTTCCTTTTACCCCATCTTTTCCCATTTGGTACACTCTACTTATTTAGGCTTTACTTAGTATTAGTAACGGTTGCATGGTAGCTTTTAAAAATCCCTTAATAGATCGGTTTTTCAATTTTAGTTAGTCTCTCCTCTTGTTAGTAACGGTAGCTCTGCTTATAACGGTTGCATAGTAGCTTTTACAAATCCTTAAGAGGTTGTTTGTTTACCGATTTTTGTTCGCTCAAATCGGGTGTATTCATTCAAAATATGACGCTTCCTTTCCTAACCCACATCTCTCTTCTCATTGTTTTTAGTTTTTTTTTTTTTTATCTGCATTTATTGTTTTTAGTTCAAAAATAGTCTTATGGGAGAGACGTTTCATTTCTCATCTTTGGCTTTGCAGGTTTGGATTAAAACCAATTGTTTGGTTTATTCATTTCTTGGTTTGGATTAAAACCAATTGTTTGGTTTATTCATTTCTTTGCCTGCTCTCTCTCCCTGTCAGTCCGCCTCTCCTCTTTCTAAACCCTCTTGATAGCTTCATTAGAGCGTGCTACCTGTTTTTGCTTTTGTTTTTTTTTTTGTTCGGTTGGTTGAAGGTTGTTTTTTGTTTTCCTAATTTATATGTTTTTGTGATTTTCTATTTTTTTCTATCTTTGTAAAGATTTATTGACTTCTCTATGTTGTTGGAGTTTTGCAAATGTTATGGCTAACTTTTGGAGTTCACTGATTATAAAAGAATGATGTTTCAGTCCAGGTTTAACAATTGTTTTGTTTTTTTTTTTTAATTTATATTTTGTGATTCAGGTTTAACAGTTGTATTTCTCTAATGTTGTAGATGCTCTACAATTGAAGGTTTTCCTTGGTGTTTGCTAAATAAGTCCTTTTACTGCAAATTTACTAAATAAATTCCGTGCATCGCATAGATTCCTGCTAGTTTATTATATATAGGAGAAGACCAGCTCACCCTTCATCAGACAACCACAACCGAATCACAAAGTGCACAGCTTCATAGTCTCAACCTAACCCCAAAATAAAATAAAAAACATTCATTACACCCAAAAAAATAAAAAAAAAGCTAACTTATATATAACACAAGAAGCTTCCAGTAATCCTGTTTTAGGAAACTTACGAGCTCAAGTGGAGTACTTTAAAAAAGTTGTAAAAAGCAAAACTCTTAAAATCAATTCCTTTATTAGCTAAGAGGTCTCCACAATGGTTCCATTCTCTTAGGAAAAGCTTTCAAGGCTGTGTTTGCTTGCGATGTAAATTCTGAACTAGTGTAAACTTGTACCCTAATCCGGTACTCACATTTGATAGCAGTATTTTTATACATTATAAATCAATGTATTAAAAAACGTAGAAAGGTTTTGTTCCTGATGCAAATGAATGAACTAGGCAGTAGACACCAACGGGCAAGAACGAGTACAAAATTAATTTTAATCAATATAGGCAATTAGGCACTATTAATAAAATCACATTGAAATTAGTTGGAGACGCGGGGAATCGAACCCCGTGCCTCTCGCATGCGAAGCGAGCGCTCTACCATATGAGCTACGTCCCCAAATGTTAATTACCTTTGCTTGATTATTATTTTATATAAACTGATCCTGTCAGCAATATACACCCACCCATGAATTTATTAATTTCCCGAAGAATTCCATCCAATGGGCCATACACATTAAAAGTTAAGGTTTTTAAAATCGAATCGTCGATCAAGGGTCCAATTCTTATGTCGAACAATCCAACCATTCAGATCAAAACGGATGACCCGTTCTAATAAAAAATAAAAATAAAAAATGACTAAAATTGTTTGATGGTTTGAACGGTTTGAACAGTTCAACTGTCTGGGTCAACGGTTTGTTGACCAAATCAATATTTTTTGGCGAAATAATGGTTTTAGAATATTCCCAATTTTTCTGATCTGACCATCCGGTCTGGACTGGTTTTGATAACCATGTCAAAAATACTCTTTTTTTCACCCCTTCATCTATTCTTATATAAATGAAAAAGAAAATCAAAATTTTAAAAAATGGACAGGAAAATGGAACCGTGGCCACTAGTTCCCAAATCAAACGGTCTGATTGTCTGATTCAAACCCGGGTCAAATGAGTTTAGGTTCTAAATCGGATCTGAACTCATAACCAGTTCCTGGCTCAACCAGAACTTTACAAAGCTTTCATTGTAAAATGGGATGTAGCAAAATGAAATGGTCCCGTGGATGTAATATCTTGACCCACTTCCAGTTGATCTAGCGGATAGGATCCGTCTAGTGTCAGTTCCCACTTCCCACTACTTTGCAAGCAGGCAAGAATTGAATTCACTTCTTAATCAGCTCTGAAGTCTGTAGACCAAACCCTCTTGCAGAGGATATAAATATCCCTTGGTGAGGTGGCCCATACTATTAAAATGAGAATTGTAGCCTTTTCGGATCTTCAACCCACAAGAAACTTACCCATAACTAATTATATATCACTATAGCCGCACATTAAGAGCATCCTCCTCCTTTATTTATATGTTAGCATTTACGGGAGATATTCTGAATGTACAGCTATAATGTCCTGTAGGCAGGAGATCCAAATTAAATTTTTACACCTGGGAAAAGACAGAGACAGATCTGAATCTGACTACGGTTGTCAATGGACTCCTTGATCTGATCCAATTCTAACAGATCCAGGATTGGCCCATAAATTCAACTGGGACAATTTTCATTTGTATATATGCAGAACTACCAGATCCAAAGATCCAATTAAAATTGGATCGGTTCTAGAGCCACTCTGCTCCATCAGTCCAACCTGACAAGACTCTTATCCAGGACTACGCTTTAATCTGCGGCATACATTATTGAAATCAAAGCTAAAAATGGCAAATGTGATTGGATCAAGTATTGGGCTCTGGGCCATTGTATAATTTGTTAGTCCGAACTGGATCCACCCGGTCCACTTCCCACCTATTGGCAGCTTGATATTCGAATCCTACGTTGCATCCTCATTGGGTTGTTCCTGGTTTAACTGCAGCGGCCGATCAATAGGAATGGACAGTCAACGGCGGTGCAGCCAATGAGCCAACGCTGCGATTCTTTAACGAAAAAAACAAGAGACATGATGGCGTCCACCTGAGGGACACAATTTGTACTGTCATCCTCGGGGCAAAAGCGTCGGAATACAAGATTTTAATAACATATACCGTATACTAGATGGGGCTTACACAGCTGAAGGATCTTTATTTCTAATCTCTATTCTCTAGTCTTTACCAATGTTTGGGTCACTAGTTCAATCATCCTGGTCGAATGGTTCAGGTTTTTAACATAAAAAAATGATTTTTTTGAAAATTTGTATACACTTTTAACTTTTAAGTGTATAATTCATGACTTAGTTATTGCGTATAATGCAAGGTATTAAAAATTAGATTGGACATCGAACCATTTTGTTCATCGATTCTTGGGTAAAATGGTCCGATCATTTAATTTGACAAACAGCTCATTTTCATTTTAAAAAATAAAAGGTTAATGTTTGAATCGACAATTTGACCGCTCGGGTCAGCAAATCATTGACTAAGTCAACAGTTTTTTGTCCAAAAACAATTTTAGAGAGAAATAGAACCGATTGTCTAAACAGTTCCTAAGTCAACTGGTCCAACCATCAGGTCCGATCTAATTTTCAAAACCATATTCTAATGGATCAATGGTCCAATCACCTAAATCTGGATAATTTTTAACCAATTTCTGGATTTTACTAGAACCAGACCCAAATCTTGGCCGAATGATGATTTGAATGGTTCAACAGAAGCGGGTTACAAACACTGTTGTCTACTCTAGCCTTTGCGCACTGATCTGAGACAAAAAATATTCCAATCCAATGGCTTGGGGTATTATTACAAACATTTCCAATTCAGCAGCTTTTGTTCTGTGCATGCATTAGGCCCCGGCCTGAGCCATCAGGTTATGTAACAGATTCACAGCACAGGACCTTGGCTGGATCCAATCAAAGCAACGGTAACCATCTGATCAGTCACAATCTCGCACGAAATCACTTAAAATTGAAGAGTGGTCAGTGGTGGGGCCCTTCCTTGTGCACATGCGTCCCTGTTTGTTTACCACAACTAAGTATTAACGTTGAAAAAAGAAAGTAGAAACGTAAGCCAGATTACTAGAAACCACACTACAACCGGAGAGAGAGAGAAATAGAAGAATTATAATATTAATAAATGGTCCACTCCCCAGTTCCCCAGTTTCCACAGTCGTTTACGGCTGTCTAGTCACCGTTTGGTCCATTCAATGCCAAGTTGCCAACAATAACAGCAATCTCTCTCTCTCTCTCTCTCTCTCTCTGAAAAACAACAAGCCAAAATAAATACATCTCCCCTTCTCTTCTTTCTCCATCTCATCACTCATTTCTCTCCTTTTAGAAGCAGAACATACGCAGAAAGCCACAAATAACTCTAACACTCTCTCCTTCTCTTTCTCTGTCTGTCTGTCTTTCTCTCCCTCTCTCTCTCTCTGTGTCTCGGCGCGTGTTTGTAGGTGTGCAGTGCGCACGAAAGCGGAAAGACAAGAGAAAATGTCCAATGGTCTTCGCAGAAACCTCAACCTCTGCTTCCTAAACACAAAGCGCAGACGCCCACCCACAACCCATTCACCTGCTATTCCGCTGGCCTCGAAAGATCAAAAACGTCCAGCACCCACAACCAACCCATCTGTCCTGATCAAGAACTTCAACTCCCTCTACGATCTTACCTCAGACTCCACCTCTAAGTCCCGTAGCCGCTCCAGCGACGACTTCTCCTCGTCAGACTCCGACCTCGACACCACCCCCGACTTCGCCACCATATTTGCCTCCCAGCGCTTCTTCTTCTCCTCCCCGGGCCGCTCAAACTCAATCATCGAGCCGCCGGAATGCCCGCCGGAATCCGACACTCTAGTCGGCGGAGGTGTCCCGATCCCCACGTACTCGCCGGATCCCTTCATGGATTTCAGGCGATCAATGCAGGAGATGGTCGAGGCACGGGAACTGTTGGACGTCAAGGCCGATTGGGATTACTTGCACGAGTTGCTCTTATGCTATCTCACGCTGAACCCCAAGCACACCCACAAGTTCATCATTGGCGCTTTTGCCGATCTCCTCGTCAGTCTCATGACAGAGCCAGAAGAGGGTGCTCGCCGGTAACCTGACGACGTCTCCGGCCGGTGTACGGTTTCACGGCGGTTGGTGTAACGTGCTTGTCTGTATATAGCCCCCCCACCCCCTTTTTTAAATATTCTTATTGTTATCTCTCTTTATCCTTTATTTATCTAAACTCTCCCTGTTCTGCTTTTGTTTCTTTCTTTCGCCTGGACTTTTCTATGGGGACAGATGCGAGATCCCAAGACTCTAGAGAGATAATTATCAACTGCCACCATGAAATACTGAGAAAGCTTTTCTATTTAATATAGTTGTTTTAATTGTTTTCTTTTGGGTTTAGGTAACTTTGTCTTTGAGATTCCACTATTAAGATCTCGAAACTATGGCATTTAGTGAGATGGGTAGGGCATAAATCAGACGGTTAGGAATAATTTTATGAGATGGGTAATGACCAGTACAAGGAGATGATCTAGCCTCTTGGTCGGTTCTGATTAAAATAAGTGAAAGAAAAAGGTTTGTGTACATCTATGTATCTTCCTTGTCTATCTGATTGAGGGTAATTAGTTTTTGGACAGACAAAAGATTTAGCAGAGAACAAGGCCAAAATTTACATGTTCGATGGAAACAAGTAACGCCAAAGTTAAAAAAGGACGAGGGAATCTCAATTTTTGTCAATGGTTAACTTTTACGAGCTTGGGATGAGCCGCCCCTGTTTAGTTTGGGACTGGTTTTAGTCCTTCAGAGTTCAGACATGGTTGAGAGAATTGAGATCTGCCAAACCTGACCCAGGAATATCTACCTGGCAGAGGATTGTGAGTGGCTCAAAGGCAGCTCATTCCATGGCTCCGGATGCCAAACGACCCTTCAATTAGGTTGCTTTTGGATAAGCTTAAGGTTTTGTGCTTTCTATGGGTCTTGGGGCTTAAAAATGTTTTGGTTTTTAAGGTCATAGTGTTTTTAAAAGCAATTCTTTCAACTTTGTATTTTGAAGAGAAAATTGTGTTGTTAGGTGAGATTTTTTAATAGGATTTTATTTTCTAACATGCCTCCTCTTTTATGCTGAAACTTAATTTCATTGAATAGGTTTTTATATATTGAGATTTCAGATATTTGCTCTGAATTCATTCCGAAGAATGTGGTCTAAATAGATCATCTTACATCAACGCTTCTGTCCAAAACCTGGGAAAAGCAGGCTGGGTTTAGGCAAGTAGGGCTGGTCGGGTTCACAACTGCCAGCGCTAGCTTCATAGTTTTTTTTTTTTTTATGCATGGGCGTGGCACGCAACATCTCCACAAAGAGTCCGCATCATGTGGTCCAGTCGAACCGGACACACTGGCCCGCTGCACGGGGCGACAACAAAACAGTAGTAGTGGTAGTGATTAGTGAACGGTGCCGAAGGTTGATTGATTTTGAGATGAAAATCAGAAAATGGGATACCACCCAAACAGCATTCTTAATCCCTTGCTTTGCGGATTCTTGTCCATTTAGAACATCACTCAGCCCAAATACCACATTAGATTTTTGACTTTTTCAGTTAATTAATGAAACCGTTTGATAAAGGTGTCTTACGAAATTTAAAAAAGAAATGGTAATTTATCAGGTAGTTCATATATAGTTGATTTCATCCAATGACCCAACTATCAAAAGTCGTTTTTTGGCCACGGAAGAGTGCTGTAGCCTGCATGTTAGATGGGCCCAATGGATTAATGGATGCAGCATCCACTTGCATTATGTGCCGTATGCAACAGTGAATGCAGAAGAAGCTTACAAGGATGAAGGATTCCTTCCTAGTAGTAAATTAGTAATATCTCTATCTGTCCTCTGCAATAAGACAAGGAATCCCTTGTTATTAGTGAGCTAACAATGGCTATTGGCTTCTGCCAAACCCTTTGGCTTGGAATATTTTATCTCTGGGTTGGGGTAGAGACGTAGAGTGGAGTGGGTTTTAAGTAACCTGGACCATTAGGAACATCTTTTGTACTTTATGTTGTAAATGATGAATAGATGTTCCCGATGTGCGGCTGTAATATATTGTTACAGCCGCAATGTCGTGGGATGCCTTCTCTCGGTTGTTCCTGTTGTTCAACTATAGTATCTTGTGTATAGTGTGTGGGTAGTAGATCCAAGCTCGTTCCAACAATGGGTAGGTTTTCGGTCGCAGTCCATGTGCCATGAATGTGATGGGCTGTCCTACATGTCTAGGGCCACAATGGGTTGGTTTTCAGTTACTGCTGTATGGTTGGGTGTGGGTGGGGAAGCTGAGATCACAACCTGGATTAGGTAAGTGGGCTCCCTTTTGCTTGATGAAGGTATCCAAATAGGAATTGGGATTGCACAACCTCACAGTACATGTCAATGTTTATTGGGAACATCTCCGAGTGAATAAAAACATACGAGATGTTCCCGATGTGGGACTGAGACATGCTGTGAGATTGGCGCGAGGAGCAGATCCCAACTCTCCAAACAATGTGACTGTTCTATTAAATGGACCGGTTGATAACAGCTGAAGTGGTCGAATTGTTGATTTGATGTCTTTATTTATTTAATTTTTCTTTTTAGTGATTAAGCTATTAAGTAGGTCATGAGCTCTGCTTTAATGGCTGAATGGCATGTTGATTTGAATAGTCAGCCATTGAAGATGCAACTCAATCCCACAGTCAAGGTTTTTAAAACCGACTAGATAATGAACCGATTAAAGGTCTGGTTTTTGGGTTGAATAGTCCAATTGTTCGAACGAAATGGATAGTCTATTCTAATAAAAAAAAACATCCAAAACCATTGAATGATTCCAGCAGTTCAATTGCCTGGATCAACGATTCTTGATGAAATAATTATTCGACCAGTTCCTGAATTTTTGGTTCGACGGTCTGGTCCGATTTAGTTTTGAAAACATGCTCACAGCCCCTGACCCTAAGGTCGCAGTCAGTATTCAGCTATATCTGGAGTTTAATTCATGATGACCCAACCTAATTAATAGGTAGGGTCGTGCAGGGAAGGTCCCTACTTGACCCGACTAGGAACCCTTTTTCTCAACATCAATTGTTTAAGAAAAAGGAAAAGAAAGTCTGTAATTGGTTGACCTCTCATGTCAACCCTGAACCCCAACAAGAAGCATTGATGATATAGCACGATTTAGTAATGCTTTCTTTTCCTCTTTGAGCAAATCACAATCCTGGATGGTTCCTTGTTGTCATGTCAGCCACTATCAAATTGCTGTCATGAGTTGTGATTACTCAACTGGCTTTTGGGATTTTGGATTTCTCAATTCTCAAAATTAAAATGGAGGTTGTTTTTTTATTTGTTTTTGACACCTGCTAAAAGGTAAAAAAATCCACATCCAGAATACGCATCAGCTGCTTTTGTTTTATTTTACTACTTCAATTTGGATGTGAAAAAAAGAGATTTAAATCTTTAATAAAGCTAAAAATAATTAAATGATAGAAAAAAAAGCCGAACAGGGCATTTGCATAGCATAATCAGGTTTTTAAATGCAAGGCTCCTTTAGATGAGTTTTAGGCAAGTATTATGGTCAAGCCCTAAAGTGATTTGAGCCTTTGGTTAGAGTTACTAAAAACAATCTAATTTTTAAGCCCAAATGCTCCCTTTGCATGTGGTAGAAATCTGAATTTTAAAAGCAAATTTTACATCTGGTTCAGTTTTGTATCTATTTATTTGTAACTAATTATGTTTTACACAACCATTTGAAATAAAATTTGTATTTTTGATCTCATTTGCACTTATTAATAGTGCAAATTTTGCATCAGTTTGAATCCTAAAGGCTAATCTGCACAACTTTCTTTTTACATAAATTCTCTCTCATACAACATAGGAACCACAGCATCTTGATCCTTACTTACCTTTACTCTCAAACAAATAACCTTTTCTCTACCTCCATTATCTATCATATCATATCAGGTAGAAACCACAATTTTACTTCAACAAATAAGTCAAATATCAAGCAATATCAAATCAGAATTGACACTCAACCTACCTGTACTTTCATGCATTTATGCCACCTAGTACACTTGAAACAAAGAGCCCATTACAACATTAGGGAGTAACTTCCCACTCTTGGGTTTTGAAAGCAAAAATCCTGAAATCCATCCAAAATTCAACCTAATTCTTTTTATTATTTTGATCTTTCCAGCCAAAATAAAATAATCTGAACTTTCGTTATTTGAATGAAATGAGTTAATTTTTAAAATAAGTAAGTAGGTGTTTGGCATCAATGTCTTCTTTCAGAAAACAGTGTCATATCAGAAATCCGTTTTTTGGAAAAAAAACATCTTTTGTTTGGTTAGCCATTTTTTCTAAAAAACATTTTCTTAAACCACGTCGAAAAAGATGTAGTCTTGGTGTTTTTTCCTACTTTCTATTGTTGCTGACATGGCACTGAAAAACATCTATATGGCAGCAACAACAATGATATCAAATACAAAACCTAAGAAAACATGTTTATATAGCATCATTTTCTGAAAAAATGCTTCTCAAGAAGCAGCATTGATTCCAAACACTGCCTGACAAAATCCTTTAAGGCTTAAAAAAAAATACATTACCCAAAATTTTGGTTCTTTTGAAATACTTTAAGACTGCATTTGGCATCTATCCTTTTTGCGGTTAGAAATTCAGTGGCATTTTAGCTGCATAAAGAAAATAAATCCTTAAAAAAAGGAATGACAAATGCAGCCTCAGATTTCAGCCAAAAAACATTTGAAAGAATTATGGAGTCATCTGCATAGACCCTACTTTCTCAGATAGGCCATCCACCTTCAATGGTGAATATTGATAAGACAAATGCCGAATATTTTGTGGGGTTGATCAAAACAAGGTAGGGAGCCTAGCGGGTGTGGGGGGTTATGTGTTATCAACCCTAGCAATGAGTGTAGCATGTCTAGTGCACGACTTATTGAATAAGGGTCACTCAAGCATCTGACACTATTCCATGCAAGGACAGCAGCAGGACACATCACTTAGTGGGCCCAGCCCAACTTCGGAGATCATTTCTATTAATTATTTTTTTGACGATTTGATGATGATGAATTACTGGTCAGATGAGCGTAGTGGGCTCTCTGATTATCAGAAATTGGATTGAGAAATGGAAAAATGTTGGTGCGAGGCCCATAAGGGGACTGGATTTGGACCCTCTTGCCAAGTATGAATGGAGATCGAAGAGAGGGGAAAAAAAGTAGATTCCTTTGGACCCCAAACAGTTTTTTGCAAGAAAAAGATCCTTATCGAGAAGCATGCTTTTTGACCATAGAAGGCAGTAATGATTTGAATTCTATTTCTGTCTTGACGAATAACTACCTCCAACTCCAAGTGTAGT